ATAATAATTTAGACCTTTTATGAAATAATTTTACTTCAGAAAATACACCAAGGAAAGAACTGTAAATAAGCTTAACTGAATAAGTTGTACGAGAAATCTTGTTTTGATAAAATATTATCTTGATTACCTAAAAGATGAAAATAGTAATTTTGCTAAGAACATTATTTTCTACGAAAAATAAAGATTAAACTCTAGGTGAACTTACAATAACTTTTATACTATGTTTTATATAGCGCTTTTAATAATTAACTTATTCTGAGATGGGACAATTTGCTATAGAATACACTAGTTAGAATGACTGAAATCGAAAAGTAACAAAACAATAATGTACCGCATAGCAAAAGTAAGAAACTGTGTATTACTTTGTATAAAAAGGAAATCAATAATATTATACCATGAAAAAAAAAGAAACTACTTTTGAATGATAAATTAATAATTACATGTATAATTAACTGCATGATATAACGCAAACTAATAATTCAATGCACGGTGGGGGGAGCCGATCACTCTATGGTAAAGCTCTGAATTTCAGCTCTAGTAACCAAAGTCTGAATCCGTGAGATACCATAAAAAATATTACCCACACTTTAAGCTGTGGTTGCGTTATAAGAAAGGCAGTCAATTCCTTAGCGTGATGATCAGTGGTAGGGTACTGCTTACTGGTTTGGTATTTCCAGTAAAACAGTTTTTTCACAGGGCAGTCAGGTAGGCCTGCTAATTCAAGGTTCGGAGAATATAGAACTATAAAGTGTACTGATCCCTCCGACCTAAAAAGAAATACTCGGCACAGATAAAATTTTGAATATACTAATGTTGATTTACAAAAACACAATCACAATAAAATAACAAAAACACAACAAGAGCATGTGTCTATTGGTGGTTGTCGAACTGGTAGCAGTAATGTGAAGACTTCATTCAAAAGCTCATATTAGATCTATGTCCGCCCAAGTAGTTAGGGCAGTACCAGAGCGTCAATTCGACCGACCTCGTAACCACAAAAGAAAAATCGACATAAACTTAAATTATAATTTTTTTTCTGTCTAGAATTACTTCAAATTGTAACATGAAACTACATTCGTTTATCCTCAGTAGCTCTAAGTTCGTAACAGTGTATATTTATTTATAATTAACTTTCATTGTTTTATTGCCCTTTGAACTGTGTCTAACTACTATCTGCACTATTATAAGTTGTAAGTCACTGGGAGAACTTGCAGCTCACGTTATGCTAACGAATTACATTACCCACGAGCTGCTTGCTTGTGGGCCTCATGAAATATTTTGATTATAATATTTTAATATATATATTTTACCTAATCTAATCTTAATAAATCTAAAAGGGTTCCTATTTTTACATTTTACTAACTTTTTATTATACATAAAGAATAAACATGAAAACAAGAAATAAGATACTTAACCAATCTTTTTTTTCTTGCTGTCAGTTTTCGATGAGAGTTAACCCTGTTTTTTTTATACTAATAATAGTAATGCACTTAATAATTCTTATTTCATTAAATAATGCACCAAAGAATACAGACTAAGAACATGCAATAAGTAGACAAATTTCCTTCCCTATTTAAAATGTTCTGTCTTTCTTGCTATCAGACAAGAGCCATTGCAAATTCATTCAAGCTAGTCATTAACTTTCTCATGGGAATGATATTGGTGTACTCTGAGTGAAATTGACATCTAACTGTTCAGAACATAACGTTATACAATATGTCATTTGACAGATGAAAACCTTGACTTTCTATTGGTTATAGGTAATTTATAATGAAACGTAAGAGGGAACTACCAACCAATTCTGAAAGAGAGGATGTGAGAGGTGGGTGTGGAAGAAGGGGTCTGATTTTCTATTGGATAGCTCTGTAACCAAACAAAATTGAAGATTATACACATTTTTGTTTGTTTGAGCAATAACGATTTTATAGAATAATTTACGTATAATTTCGTACTTTTTTCGAGGGGTGGTGGATAAAATAGGGATGATGACATGCTAATAGAAAATGTGTCACGTGGGTCACACTAGTGGAAATTCAGGAGTTTTAAATATTGCCTTGTAAAATTAAGAACTTAAAACTTGTATACTATTAAAATGTGGATTATCTGCTAAGATTTTCTGCTATTCTAATTGGTATATCATAAACAAAAAGTAGTTTAATAAAATAAGTAGTTTAATTAAAAAACCTTGTATAATGTGCAGTAAAGAATAACAAGATTTGAAATTTTGACCTTATGTTCGCCTAAACCAGGTAACACTTTCGTTTCTACACACCATAAATTCTATTTCCATATCTTTCAAAACTTCATTTAAACTTATTAGTTTCTAAATACACAAATGGATATAATCGTAAAAAGACCTTGAATTATGAATCAAAGTATTAAGATTTTTTTAACAATGTTTCAGTAACATGAATTATACAATTCAATATTATTATATAAAACTCACGTTTCGTCATAGCCCAATATGCTATCATACATACTTACTAAAACTTCAGGTACTATAAGCATCATAGTTTATAATTTTATTGGATTAGCTTTCATACAAATTATGCTCATTTGAACTCAGTATGTAAGATTTTATATAGTTTATATATGATAGTGAACAATCAGTCAAAAGCTCAGTTTATTTATCTCATGTTATAATTTCCATAGACTCAGAAAATATAATTAATGGATACAAAACAATGCTATGATACTATATGATATTCGGTGTTCCTTTCAGATGAAATATTAAATTGCAGTAGAACGGGTCAAGGTCGTTGACAGGTATACGACAAAGGTCAGTTCTGAGTTGACCAAGCCTATTATAATACATTGTCGCTATCTATTTATTTACATTTTATTTCATGTTGAACATAAATGGTTCAAACTCTACATAATAACATAAATTTAATGTTCACCATACTTTAACTGGAACTTTTATACATCACTGAATTTAAAATTCAGTAAACATAGTTCTTTCACTCTACGTGATATAAAACACCAATTGTGCATTCACGATATTTGATGGGACACTTTAGTTAGCATTCAATTCTTGTGTACTTTCTATTAAATTAAACTTCATAAGCTGATTATTCACTTTTCTAAATAAATTGTCGTCACTCATACTGAAACATCTTAGCTTATAAAATATATGATTAACTTTCATAGAATGTTTGTACGTTATGCTCATATTACTATTTCAGTTATAGTTTATATTTTTTAGTTGTTTAATAATATCTGAAAGCAAACTGAATTAACATGAGACATCGTACTAAAGACATGTCACTACATAAACTAATGAATGACACTACACAAACTAATCATGCAAGATTTCAGTTAGTAGGCCTAACTACACCCCCCTCCCTCACCCAGAGCTGAACTAAAAATAAAATAAAATGAAACAACAAAAAACAATGAACTAAAATTGATGTTACACTTTAACATTAACTTTCCACAAAATTGCATCCAAATCACAACTATAGTAACATTAATACAATAAGAACCTCTAAAACTTTATTTTACTTATGCTATACATGCTACAGTCAAAGCACAATATACACAAAATAAGGCCAATGCTCACTTTAAAACCTTTAAACATTAATTCGAAAATTTTCATTAGTCATTTAACTTCAAACAAGTTACTTTAAAGGTCACCACAGTTCAAGTCAAAGTTATTCTAAGAGCTATAAAAGTTAGTAATGTTATTGAAAATTAAAGTTAAAAGTTACTAAAAGGTTTATAAAAGATATTCTTGCAGAATTCCTTATAACACATGAAAAACTTTTTAATCCTGTCTTAGTGAAACCCAACATTATATACGATAACAAAATACATTTAAGAAACCAGGTTTGCAAACAAAATTTAACTGACATCCATGTGATGTGTGTTTATTCTGAGTTGGGCTCCAGGCCATAGTTATGTCTGACCCTTGCCTTATTTACTGACAAGAAGGATAGCGTGCTATTTCTGGACATCACTTGTTAATGTCCCTGAAAGAAAGTCAGTTAATTGCCAATTAGTGAACACATCTTATATGCTCTCGAAATAAGGAAAGTTGAATTGTGTACTCGAGCAACTCTCAGTGGTCAAACTGGAAACTCTGAAAAATTGAGGGGTAGCAGGAACACTGTATCATCCAGTAATATACTGGCTGCTTTCCTTCTGGTCAGTATTTCGAAAGTAAGGATGGTGTCAAATAACCTTGGTAGCTTTGCCATGAATACAAAATACAGTACAATACTGCAAGGTGAAAACAAAAATAATTATGTAATGCAGGGTAAGAAAAAACCATAAAGTACTAAATGATAAAAAGTAATTGACAATATACTGTATGACACGAGATAGAATGATGTTGTGTTACATGGTAAATACAGAAAACAATGCACTGCATGATAAAAGAGGAAAAATTCAAAGTACATTATGGAAATAGAAGATTATATTTAATTCTAGAAGATAAACCTATAACATACTACGTGGTAAGACAAGAAACTGGTAGAAGATATACTGAGAACATACTACAAAGTAAAAAAAATATATATATATGGTAGAAATTAACTGGAAATGCATATCACAATGAAAAATTAACCGCCAGTAACACATAATATATGTCATATCCTGGCCCTCTTATAGCAGGGTAATTAAACAGTTTCAGAAATTTTATTTCTGTTACGAGATCTAATAAAACGAGTTTGTCACTGAAAGCCAAGACACCTTATGAATAAAAAAACAGCCCATGAAACTTAGCAATAGAAATGAGAAAAATACACTGAGACTATAGCAATTCGTAAATTCAAAGCTGTTAGAATATCATAACATTCTTTGGTATTTATCAACATCAGCAGAAAAAAGATATCTGCTAATAGTAAAAGGAAATGATTAAATATGTGCACTTATCTATCCCATGAAAAAAATGTATACATTATATATAGTATGGTATATTAGCAGGTAGAGTAATATATTAGTTAACATTTATTTCTATGCTGAAACTGTGTTACGGTTATGAAATATAATTATTGCAGGTTTTCCAATCAGATGGTAGTTTTGTGGGGAAGTTTGGCTCTATTGGAAGTCGTCCTGGTCAGTTGGAGCACCCACACTACATAGCTGTCAGTAATACCAATCGTGTCATCGTAAGTGACAGTAATAACCACCGCATTCAAATATTCGACGTGAACGGTCGCAGCTTATCTACGTTCGGCAGTGAAGGATCAGAGGAGGGTCAATTCAAATTCCCACGAGGAGTCGCTGTCGATGACCAAGGTTACATCATGGTAGGGGACAGTGGGAACAATCGAATTCAGATTTTCCATCCAGATGGTTCCTTTCTCAGATCATTCGGGACCTGGGGAGCCGGAGATGGAGAGTTTAAGGGACTGGAAGGGATAGCTGTAATGTCAAATGGAAACATTTTGGTTTGTGACAGAGAAAATCACCGTATTCAAGTGTTTTAGATGAGAAAGTAAGACATAAACCAATACTACTTTTCTTTAATTTGGCACCTCTAGATTATTTGTTTAGATAATTAGATTAGCATATCAAGTAATCAACTTTGTTCTTGGTATTAAGAATAAGAAAACTAGCTTATTAAATATGAAATTTATTTCTTGCTTTGAAATCTGCATAAAGGAAGTTAGATATCACATTACAATAGAAAAACGTAAAAAAAATGAATATTTTACAGCTTAAAGTCCTTTTTATTATATATTAGGTGATCCCACAGTATTTTTTGAGAAATTTCTGCTTAATCAGTCTTAATTTACAAAATTGTCCAAAATTATCTTTCTTATTTTAAAATTTAATAATTAAACAACTAAAGATAACATGCTGCAACATGCCCACAGTTACAGTGGAAATGGCATCCGTCACCCTTGTCTTTAGCTCCGGGATGTTTGCTATAGGCGTGCGATACACGATGCCCTTAACATACACCCAGAGAAAGAAGTTTAATGGAGTGATGTCTGTCGAACGTGCAAGCTATGAAATTGGCCCACCCTGCAAATCAAACGACGCAGAGCCTTTTCTTGCACGGTTGCCATTTTATGGGGGTTACACTACTCACTGAAGTGAAACAAAACATGACAATAAAAATTGTTTGAGTTGGGCTACTGCAAGGTTGTATTTCTTTAGTTGTTTAATTATTAAATTTTAAAATAGGAAAAATAATTTTGGGCCACCCTGTATAGTTTATAATTTTGTATCCTAGTGCAAAATAATTCTATAGTTTAGCGATGTATATTCAAGCCTTATTCTCGGGTGCCCTAGTCCACATCCTAGCGGATATAAATAGCATAAGAAATGCATGGTGAAACCGGGTTGTCGCCTACTACTAGCCTACATTTATTTTTAGTATAAAAGAGGAGTTGAAATGTGCTTAGTTAAATAAATGTAGAAGATGTGTTAGTTTGGTTGCGAAGTTATTATTTGAAAAGAGAAAAATGGTGAAGATATCTCGGTTATGATACACCAAAGAAAACTTTCCACGGAAAGAAAATGAGGGAGAACCTCGTAAAAATGAAAGAATGGAGTAACATATGTAGGATAACATAAAAGTACTTGAGTTGCTCATGTAGAAGCAGAATAGAGAGCTGTCTAAACAAAACGTAAAGTTATTTGGATTCAATGAAAAGTAAAAACAAAAATTCAGATGTATTAAACAGAAGATTTCAAAAATTTATCTAAAGGTTAAATAACAAGGTTTCTGTTTGTTATATATTTAAGAGCAAAACTACACGATGAGCTAAGTTCACTGTACCCACCGTAGGAATCGAAACCCCGGTTGTTAGCGTTAAAAGCCTACAAGCTTATCTCTGAGTCAAGTAACAGGGAGTTTAACCAATACAAATAGTGGTTGGAGCTAACTCAAAGGTAGCAATAGTTTGAATTATAAAAAGTTTCGAGAAACAAGAAATATAAAAGTGGAAAAATGTAAACATTGAATACAAAGAGAAAATAATAATTAAAAACTGCAAACATTTCACTCCATAAACATAGAATCATTAGGTAGAAAAGCAAAGATTAATAAATATTGATAAAATTTTTGCTTAATTTTTTTGCGTGGCTCGTACCCTGCATATCCTATTAGGGACTTGTAAACAATGAAATAATGGACCCACAAGTAATTTGAAGCATAAAAGTCAAAGGGTTAGGAATTAAATGTTGAACCCACAACGTCTCAACTCCAATTGCCTTTCGCTGACTGCAGCCAGTTGTGGGAAGGCAGTTACCCTTAATATTTAGAAATAGCTTTAACGTAGAATTATACCAACCCTAAAAAATCTACATATTAAAACTCCCAACCTCCACCCTTTTACGTGACATTATAAAAAATAATAATGATATTCTTATAGTAGAAATTAGGCACCCTAAATTTCTACAGAACTCTCAACCTCCGTCCTTTTAGTTTATATTATAAGGTAGAAAAATAATAATATTATTCTTATAGTAGAAATAAGCCACCCTAAATTGCTACAGAAATATAGCGCTGATATTAATCGCTTATGAACAATTAATGTATTGCATAGCATTAGGTATATATATATATATACATTTAAAAGGCGTACAACGTTAAAATCATTGCACAATGACTAATTTATTAAAAACAGGGACTAGCCCTAAAAAGATGCTATATGTTTCGGTGTTCTTACGCCTGAGGTTTGCAGAGTTCTTAACGTTATTCTACTTTTAAAATGGGGTAATAATAGATACCCTGGAAATTACAGCCCAATTAGTTTTAATTCTTTAATGAGAAAAATTCCAGATTATGAAAAAAGAAGCTTTGCAAAATCAGCTTATGAAATACATCATAAATGAAAATCAACATGGATTTATTATAAGTACATCTTTCCTTAACTATTTGTTAACTTTTTCGAGGACGTAACGTGTTAGCTGGATGATGGAATGGATGGGACTTAATTAACTTAAAATTTCGAAAAGCTTTGATAGGATGCTACACAATCACGTCAATAGGGGTTGGAAAAATCTAGAATTTAAGTTGTAGATGGTGGGGTGAAAGAAAGTAGAGAGTTGTTACTGTGTGCACTCAAACAGGTCACTTGTTATTAATAGTGTCTCAGGGGTAATTTCAGGGGCTTTTACTTTTCTTATTTACATGGGTGATATTAATACATGCATGATTAGTTAATTAGTAAAGTTTCCTGATGGCATTAAACTATTGGACATTTCTAGTTGTATTAAGAATGCTCGGTTACTACAAAATAACTTGAATCAGTTATTAAGTTGGAAAAGTAGTTGTAAAATTACCTTTAATTATAGTAGGTGCAAAGTAATGTATTTATATTATCATAATTTTGGTGACAAGTTTAAAACAGATAAGAATCCATTCAATAGCATAATTAAGGAAAGAGATATTGGCATAGTGGTGAATAAGTCTCTCAAACTATCCAGTTAGTGCTCTGTTGCTAATAGACTTCTAAAATGTACAGATGTATTTATAAATTATAGACATATTGATTACAAATCAAAAGAGGTAATTACTATACAAGTCAGTAGTTAGGCCTCACTTAGAATATTATGTAGAATTCTATTCTCCTTATTTACTGAAAGAGGTTCAGAGAAAAACTATTAGGATAATTCTGGGGATGGAAGGACTATCTTACAGAGATATGCTAAGATATCCTATGTTATTTTCTTTTGAGAAAAGAGGTGTAAAAATGAGACCTTATTTAAGATTATTAGGAGGATCATATGATGAACGCCTCTGATTTCTTTATGTTTTAGGATGATTAGCTTACGGAGTGAATTGTCGTAGTATAGGAACACACTTTACAAGAGATTAGAAGAGGAATGAATAATTTCCTAAAAAATAATGATTGTATGAGGGTAGGTAATGCAGGGACAGTCATAAGAACCTAACTGTCACTTATTGCCCGTGCATTTTTTTAAGTGTCCAAATCGAAAAGTTTCAACTTTATCTTATAGTGTTAAGAAGACACTGAAAATGGACTCTAATAATTTAAATATTACATTTGACCTACTCTTCAGTTTTCACTCTGAAGAGAAGTAGAGCAATTGTTTCACAACACATTATAAACTCAGCAAAAATTAAAAAAGAACTTCATCACAAACCTTCTTTACTATTTAAACCCTACAAAAACAATGCTTATATAATCTTAATGAATCTATTTCAGACAAGGGATGTTGTTGTTTTAGCGCAAAGCCACACAATGGGATATCTGCGCTATATCCACGCGAGGAATCGAATCCCGTTAGTGTTGTAAGTCTGTATGTAAACTTTCCACTGAACAATAAGAGAATGTAGACAAAAGACTAAATATAATTATATATATAGTAAATAAATACCTCTTACTGATTTAGAAAGTGTATGATTTGAGAAACATGAAAAAAAAATATTTATTTATTTCAATGCAACTTGTGGATTTTATGACGTAATCTGAAATATATTTTTTGCGTATTTTTTAGCGCTAGCCTTGTGTTTAGCAATTTTAAGTCGTTCTTTCTAATTGTGCAGAGTATCTATATGGTAATAAATGTTCCTAATTAGATCAGTCAACAAAGAGGATAGCAAACCTTAGACATTCAATTACCTAGTCTGCTAGTTAACTTTATTAAAAGTAAGTTTATAGATAGGTGTAAAATCTTATTCTAACTTAATAAGTGGAATGTAAAAAATTACTTTTAATTATGATGGTAAAAATATATATCATTTTAACATAACAACATAGAGAAAAACGCATTCATATGGTTTTTTTATACTCTTCCTTCTTGCATAAATATTTAAAGAAGCACTCAAGGACAAAGAGTATTCTACTTTTACAACTACATTTTTAAGTTATTTCTATTTAAATTGAAATAAATCTTGTCTTATGACAATTACACCAAAACAATACGGTTTAACACCAGACTTTTTATCTTTAAAGTTAATATTTATTATTAAATCAATATTCAACTTTGATAATAAACAAGATTACGACACTTATGATATACAACTCT